TTACAAGGGACATTGGGGTCCAATTACTGGCCTTCATTTCCATCCTTTGTTTGGGCCCGTTGACTTTTCAGACCTGTATTTGACTTCTTCTGTAGATTGGACTGTAAAGTTGTGGCGAGCTAAAGTAAGAAAAAAATCATTGCGGTCAAATTGCATTGACGATCAATTCTCTAATTATTTTTTGTTGTAAAATAAGTCAATTTCAAAACCGTCAACTTCTACGCAAAATATTGCTCCGTTATATTCTTTCGAAGGAGCTGATGATTATGTGTACGATGTTAAGTGGTCCCCTAGTCACCCAGCGATATTTGCTTCGGTAGATGGTACGGGTAAATTCGCTTTGTGGAATTTAAATGTTGACGCCGAGGTAAATTTTTATTAGTTATTAAAAAATTTATTATAAGTTAATTACTCATCAAAACATCAAAACTATTGATAGGTACCAATTGTGAGTACACAGGTTGGTCAAGGTAGAGCATTGAACAAGATTCAATGGGACAAAGAAGGACGTAAGACAGCTATTGGTTCGTCAGACGGCAGAGTCCATATTTATGATATAGGAGAGGTAATTAAATATTTCACCGATGTGTAAATACCAGTGATTTAACATTACAACACATGCTTACTGTACTTTTACTTTTATTTTTTCCTAGTTATCTCAACCAAGGAGTGATGAATGGAACATTATGCAAAAAACCATATCAGAGTTAATTGATACCACTGAAAGTCATGGTGGAAGATATGCACTCGCAAAATAATTATTTCTACTTTTCCTTTATATCACTTTAATTTCAATTGAGTAGTTATTGAATATTAATTAAATCTAGTATTATCAGTAATCTTTAATTGGTATCAAAGCCGACATGTATTTTAGTATATTCTGTAGAGATTATCTTAAGATGGGTTTACTTAACCTATTTACCTCCTATTACTGTTAAATAATATGTATTGTTATGATATCTATATTTTTGACTCAACAATATTGCTTCTGGTGACCGATATTCAACGAGCCCAAAAGATCCATGGGTCATTGAATCCTTATCAATAGCAATTTTAAATATTAGAAATATTGCATTGAGTTATCATAAAATTTCTTGTAAATGTGTTTGACGCAAATAAAATTTTTGATAACTATTTAATTGTGACCAGTAATCTTGTATTTCACATACTGCATACTGTATTAATTCCTCAAAATTGGAATTATTTTTTAAAATTACATCTCTCCATTATCCTATTAAATTTAGTTAAAAGGTTATATTTAAAAATCTGAAGTCTTGGGCTATTCAAAAGATTTTTTTTTATATTTAATTCTTTGAATACTATTCTTTAATATTAAAACATCCTAATACTCAATTTCTATACAAAAAAATCCAAATTTCTATATCAATCTCTAATTTGTGTACACCTAATATACAGTATTTATAATTGTTCACGTGGCACACATGCAATACTGTTATATAAGGATCATCTGACATCAAATATTTGTTTCTAAAAAAATGCATGGTACGCGTCCCAAACAATTGAATTCGCGTGTCAAAGAAAAAGCAAAGCAGTCAAACAGGACGATTTCGCCAGAGTCAATATTGCAATGGTTGAAAAATGACCTTGGATATCGTCACAGACGTAATCTGCTTGGTGACTTTCCAGAAAAGGAAATAACCACCGAGGAAATTCAAAAGTAATTCTAACCTCGTTCTGCATAGTTTTTCGTGAAGTGAAAATTTTATGCAAATTTCATCATTATCATTAGGCTTTACCGAAATGAATTTGTTCCTATTTTCAAATTCCTAGTGGAACATATCAAATCTTCAAAGTAAAGAGATTTATTTGCTTTGCGTGTTCACGTGTCATCAGCATACTAATATGTTTCCATGTGCATTTTGATCGTTCAGGGAGGTTCTTCAATACAAAAAATTAAAGATTTCGTATGTAAGAATTTATTATACACCAAGGTGATCATGATATACTAGGCAATTCTTTCTGACATAGTCGTAATACACATCACTTATAGAAAGCAGAACCAGTTGATAAGATCTCATCAATCGAAACGTAACAAGGAGGCCTTATCAAATGCGACCGAAGAGAATTATGTGATTCGTAAAGCAATGCTGGATAAAAAGATAGCGCAAATCACGGCAATTATTGAGGAGGGAGAAATGCAAACTGCACAGCTAATAACGCGAATTTCGGATATTGGTAATCAATTAGGACGCTTATTTCTATATCATTGATTTTCGTTGGGTCATTTTTTGCTAAAAGATTTATTTGTTATCTGAAAGAACTACAGAAGCGACACACAAAGGAAGAAATACGCGAAAATTACAATAAAATGTATATGAAAAAGGTATTTCGAGAAAGTTGCAGATCGATCGAGGACGTTGAAAGTGGGTACCGGCGACTTTTCGAGGAGCTCATGACGAAAAAAAGATCTAAGAACGAGATAAAGTAATTAGAAAACATAATCTTATTGCTCAGTTCATGGTGTTTAAAATTTTTATTAACAATTCTCAGTTCTGCATTAACAGGAATTGAAACAACTACCACGGTAACTATAAATACAGCCATACTTATTTTTTAATGACCAGCAATTTTATAATTTTCAATGCACACAAGATTAGGATCAAGAACATCTGTGATAAATTAAAATCGATCGGGAAGAGTTCGGCATTTAGGTTTGTAAACTTTGTGGTGTTCAACGGGATAACATCGCATTATTCATACTTCCGAAATTTCTAGTCAATCTAACGCTGATTACGGAAAAAAGGTCAAGATTCGATTTTTAATAGAGGTTAGCATCACCTAATTTAAAGTATTCATAATTTCATTATTACTTTACAAAAGTTTAATAAGGGAGACCTCTAATTGTTTAGGACTTGATTAAAACAACTTCACCCAAGGTGCTCCTCAAATCGGTTTCGAATGTAATGAAGACGGCAAACAAAGAATTAAAGTACTATATAAGTTAATAAACTGAGGAACGCGAAATGCACTGGCATTTATTTATTTATTATTATCATTATTGCTTTAGTGCCAAGTCCCAGCGTTATATGGAGAAAGGTAGCTTGGATGGTTCATCGCGCCAAGTTCAGCGATTGTTACAGGTAATCGTAAAACTTTGTCCCATTTTGCATTTGTCGTAATTTGTTTACCATATTTTATTCAACATTAGAAATGTCGAGAAGATCATGTATCTAAATTCATTGAAGTTGAAGGCATGCTGAACAACGTCTCAGAGATTAAGGAAAAAATAAATAAAATTATAGAGTCAACTAAGTTATTCCTGAAACGGCATTATTATCACACTCCAAATATGGAAAATATAATAGTGTAAATATGATTAATATTTTATCTTTTTTGCACTTTTCTAAAATTATTTTTCCGATTGGTAGATCATTTCTTGAAAGAAAGGTTGAAAATGAGGCAGTAAAAGCAAAATATAACAGCATTCTAAATTATGCGCGAACACTTGAATCTCGGTATCAAGACTTGAGTGTTTCTAGCGACAGACTTGCAACTTTATTTGATCGCATTGCCAACTTAAATGAGATTGCTGTAATTATTCTTTTTCAAGGGTATATGAATAATTCTTGATTTTTCGTATGAAATTCTTATTATTATTTTCTTAGGAAAAGAAACAGAAAATTATTCAGCGGTTGATTTTTGTCAACCAACATATTAGGGCAGGCATTCCTGAAAAGTCGAAAGAGGTACACGTCGAACTCATTAACATGTTTAGATAATTTCTGTTCGACTTAATCGTGATTGTTGACAATAGATATCAAGGTTTTTGCGAGAAATTTCTCCCTTCAATGAGCATCTCGATAAACTGACTAAAGATCTTGATTGCACGGTACTACGTGAGAATGAGCAATTTCAAAATATCGACTTGAAATCGGCTTTGCAAGTTGAATTGAACGGGTAACATGTTTTAATAGAATTTATGATCTTCCTGATAACAATTTAAATAATGATTTTATTTTAGCAAGCCGCGAGTTACTAGTTCTCTTAATATTAATCGTGTACACGAAGAGAAGTTTTTCCAAGAATTTAAGGATATCATAAAATGTCCGAAATACCTGGCAAGTTCGACCTCCAATTAATTAATTCTTTATTCCATGTCGGTCACTAACATTTTTGCATACAAAAGGGTGTTGACAGTGTTTTTAGAATTATGACAGAATCAAAGCGCGAAGGTAATTTTCCCTTGCATCTAATGTGAATGAACTTTAAATTTGTAATTTAATCTGTTTATTCATTTTATTATAATTAGAAACTGTTTATGAGTTTGCGCGAACAAATCTAATCAGAAACATGCGCCCGTGCCACTATGAAATGCAAGAAATTGGTATTTGAAATTTTTTTTTTACAATTCGCACCGAGAACAGTTTGTGAAAAAAAAAATTTTTTTTCCAGCAAATCACTGGCTGAGTAATGTCCAATCTATGGAAGTCGATTTTGATTTCGATGTCACCACATATAAAAAAACGGTAGATGACATGAAAAATGCTGCAGAAAAGATAAAAGGTATGGTTGAAATAGTGAATCAATAAGACCTTGTATCCTTGACGATAATCTAAACACTACGATATATAGATTTATTGGAAAATCAAGAAGAGGATCTCCTGAATAACGAATTTCCTCGAATTACTGAAGAAATCGAAAGAACCAACATCGCTGAAAATATACATAAAGAAATTGAAGAAATCTTTAAAGAGAGGTACCAAGTAGACTTAATGGATGTTATATTTTTCCTGCCAAAACAATTATAATTGAACTTTTGCACAATTACATTCTATTCAGTCATACCTCCAACCAAGTGTCTCTTTTTTAAATCAAACCTAAACTGAAATCTTTAATAAAATTTTTTTCCAAAGTTTTGTTTATTACGAATATTCACTTAAATAATTTAAAAATTAAATCATGTGTTTGAAACACGCGTATGACGTCATGGAATTGTGATCGAACCAACAAAATAAAAATATCGATACTTGGGAAAATACCAAAAATCTTGGAACTTAAATTCCAAGCATTGTAATCCTAGCGCATTGACATTTGAAAAACAGCGTTTAAAAAAAAAAAAGTAGCTTATATAATTCGTTTTAAACAAATCATACTCTTCTGATCTCATTAACTACGATTCTTCTCCCTAACTCACCAACCAACATCGATGTAAAACGGTATCTACTTTCTCCCTCTCTTTTCCTGTGCCCGACGATAAAGTTTGTGTGAGAACAGGTTATAATGATAGTTAAAAAACATATGTTTCCTCACCTGCGAACGGTATATCATAATTCTATTGCTTCTACCTTTAAATATATCGTCAGCCTTTTTACCTATCTATTCGGTCAATATTAAGTCAGTTATCTGTGAATGAATCTTCATAAAGATGAAAATAAATTCTATGATTATACTTTAATATATGATGCCACAAATCCCGAATAATTCGGAACGCTTTTTTCATTCAAATAATTCTCGAGAACCAATATCTTGAATAATTTATCTACATCATCTCGTGTTAGATCGGTGGATCGAAAATCAGATGGAAATCCAAGTTGCTTTTTCTGTACCACATCAGACAATCTTTTTGTCGATTCTTGTTTCATCATACCAACAAATTGTTGCATGGTGACGTTTGCATGTTGATTTAGCTTTACCAATTGCACGATGCTTTTGGCGACTTCTGTCGCATCGTAAAGTTGTACGTTTAGTGTTGGCCTATTCCTACAGTTGTCACATCCCCTCTGACATTCGGAATTTCGAAAGTTTTCTCCAAAGTATCGCAAAAC